CAAATTGGCCAATACACCTTGCAATTTATAGCTTCCTAGCTCATTTTTTTTCTGGGTAAGGCTCAATACTTGTCACCACCCCCTCATAAGAGCAAACACCCACAGCATCCTTCCCTTGCCACGAAGTAACCACAACAGATGCGTGACTAGGAAACATGGCTTGGAAGGAGGGGTGTGCACGTCACAGAAGCAGGATTTGCACCCAGCACTGAGACAAAATATATGTTGGTTAACTACCTGTTTCCACAGAACACGGTGATGGCTAAAGGGTTTAATTCATTCCGCTTCTTAATTCTCTCCCCCCCCGCCCCAATTTTACAAATAAGAACCAACTTTATGTACCTAGGCACATGGATGAAAAACAGGAAAGAAAAGTTTATTAAAATATTTTTACCCTGCCTTTCTCCCCGAAAAAGGACCTCAGACGGCTTGGATCATTAAAACGACAACATTGAAAGGTGAAAAAAAAAGACAGCAAGTATACGAATTTTTTTAAAAAAATTAAACTAGAAATCACATGAAAAATACAGCAAATACAAAGCAATACTGAAAACACATTTAAAAACAACAAAGTGCTAGGATTGATTTAAAAAATAAATTAAAAAAAAACCCCTCCCAGTCACTGAGGTCTTCGTTTGCCTGTGGAGGAGAGTTTAAGGAAAGGCGCCGATCGCGAGGAGCTGCAGCTCACGGAAAGAAAAGAAAAGAGGACACAAAGGGGGGGCAGCCCAGCATCGAAAAGGTGGAGCCGGGAAGCCCGCCTTCCGACGCCTCTTAAAGAGACAGGATCCCGGGCATCGGGAACTCCGCCTCTCCTTTTCTCTCCCCCCCCCCACCGTTTCCCAGCGTGCACTGCAGGGAGTAAGGGGAGAGAAAGAAGGAAGCAAAGTCTCGAAGTGGGGGAGGAGTCTGCGGGAGGAAAAGTGAGTATATAGTAGATGAGAAAATGCAGCTTTCGGAGGCGGGGAAGGGATTTTAGCGCGGGGAGGGTGATGGAAGGCCCGGATGGTAGAGGAAGGGTTAGGCTGGGAAGCATGCAAAAAAAAAAGGGGGGGTTGAGGAGGTCTCGTGGGTTGCAAAAGAAGTAAGGTCTGCAAAGGGGCCTTCCTCGGGGCTGTTTATCCATTATCCTTCCGGAGGGTCGTTAAGCATTGTATTCTTCCTGCCCAGCAAAATGCTCGCTTTCACTTAATGGCCCAGATTAGGCTGCTAGGCAATTCTCTCTGCAGGGCTAGCTTTTTTTTTAAAATAAACTTTGGAGGGTGTTGTTTGCTTTTGTTTTTATTCCTGGAGCTGTGATGAAGTGCTTTCACTTTAGGCATCTAATTTTCTGCTGCCGATTAAAAGTGGCATTAATTGCTCGATCATTGCGATTGTTGTCCTATGGGCCATCTGGCTTCGTGGGCTGTTAAGAGTGAAATTGACTTTTTCAGTTTGGCTGATTCGGGCAGATGGTTTGGAGCTGAATTTTGACTGGATTTATTATCTGTCCAGGTTTTAAGTTTCTAGGCGGTATTAGCGATGGTATTCTGAAAAAAAAAACACTGGGCTGTCCCAAAACAACCGCCACCGCCACCTTTTAATTTAAAAGACTTTAATGGATGTGAGGAGGCACATGGGTTGTAGCAAAAGGGACCTGGGTAGAGGCGCTGACAAATGGGAACACGTGGAATCAAAAAGCTAGATTTAAGCCAGAGCTTGAAGGAATAGTTTTAAGGCAATTTGGGAAAATTGCAGTTCTGGACCACCGTTCCCGAGAGATTACTGGCAAGGGTGGTTGGGAGATTGAAAAAGTAATAAAGTCTCCAGTGGTAATTTCCCCATGCAGTACTTTGCTTTTAGAATACCTGGTGGAATAGAAGAAAGAAAATATTTAAATTGTGCTCTAGCCTCAGCCCACATGTGGCCCAGGTTTCATACCCTAGCTATGAAGTACCCATTAAATCACAATCCCATGTAGGCTGCTGAGGTGGAACTGTTTGAACAAGTTGTTTTATGAGCCCAAACCCAGGCGCATAACTCAAAAGGAGAGATGCGCACAGCTTCCTTCTCAGACTGATAAATGTGACCAGCCAAAAATAAGAACATTTGAATGGGTCAGAAGGTCCCGACCTTGTGCTAAACCCAAGGCATTAGAAGGGAGGCTGTGCTAAGACCTAGTCTTGTAAGGTATTGGGTGCGGGGCTGTAGTATTTGGGTTGTGCTACCTGGGGCTGTGTGGTGGAATCCATCTCCATGCCTGCCACCCAAGTTCTTGAACATCAAAAACGAGGAAGGCGGGCCATAATTCCTTTAGTTGTTTTTTGTTGTGTTTTGTTATTTCAGCCGTTTGTTTACCACCCGATTCCCTGTAGACGTAGAGCACTACCCTGGGCATTTGACCTCATGGAAATAACCCTCCCATCTCACTTCTAACCTTGATCCACCTCGCCCGACTCCAGTCAGATCCCCAACAACCCAAAATCAACACTATCCCAAATGCACAATGAATATATAGCTGGCAGGTGGACAATCCGTGCTCCTAGTTAATGAAGGGGGATAATTTTTCTGACGGCTTCCTTGGAGAGACTTGTCTTCAGCAGTTTCTTAAAGGCTTGGAGGGATGGAGCCTCTCTGGGAAGGCTGTTCTAAAGAGATGAGGCCACTACTGAAAAGATCCATTTCCTCTTGGATGCCTTCTTCACCTCTCTCTGAGTGACCACCCATAGGAGACCATCCTGGGTGGATCAGGTGGCACAGGCTGATGTTCTTCAGGGCAGCTGCTCTGACAGATAACAGGTTCCTCCTGTTTCCCCCCCCTTTCTGCCCATATTCTTTCTTTCTTTTCCAGCAGTTCTGAGGGACAGCGACTGATCCCCAAGCATAGAAGACCTCTGGCAGACCACAGCAGTCATGCCCCCTAACAAGGATGCTCCGGGCTGCCTTGGCTCGCCTCCAGGTTTGATCTGCTTGCCACCCATTTCTGAGGATCTCCAGCTGGTATGGACACAAGCAGCACAAACGAGTGACCTTGATGGAAACCAGCACTTGCTGCAAACGTTCAGCTACTTCCCTTATCCCAGCCTTTCTGATCTGGCCTTGCTCTGCCTGCGTCATGGCCTGCACATGGAGAAAGTCAAGGCCTGGTTCATGGCGCAGCGGCTCCGTTGTGGCATCAGCTGGAGCGCTGAAGAAATCGAAGAGACTCGGGCTCGCCTCATCTACCATCAGGATCAGCTTCACTTCAGTTGCTTGCTTGCTGGGAATGAGGTTGACTGCTGGCACCAGGCTTGTAAGAGCCAGGAATACCACCAAGCAATAGCTGCCTCTGTCTACAACTCTGGCAAATATCCAGATCACCAGGAGGCTTCTGTAAACCCCTTAAACCACTACAGCACAGCCCAAGGAACAAGGGAAATTGGGAGAATTACTCAGGACGTTTGGAAAATGAAGGAAAACGTGTTGTCCCATCATAAGAAAGTTCCGGAGAACTGTGAACCTTTGCAGGCTCCTGTGCATCTTCACAATACCAAAGAGACCCTTTCTGCTGACTGCCTACGGGCTACAAGTGCCGGTCTGCAGCATAAGATGGAGAACTGTCACACAGTAGCCTGGGGGCTCCCTGAAGCTGCCCCACAGCCCTCTGAGCCCATTGTGTCTGCTGTAAATGGGGGGCATCACCCAATACTACTTCCAGCAGGCCCTTCTGTCAAAGCTACCCCACTCACCTCTACAACTACAACCAGTGCTGCTCAATCACACAGTCTCCAGAACTGTCAGTACCCGGTGGGTGATCAGCAGCAGTCCTCAGGTCAGTCTGCAGAGGTTCTACGTAGACCAAGGCGAAAGACAAAGGAACAGTTGGATATGTTAAAATCTTTCTTCCTTCGTTGCCAGTGGGCTAGAAGAGAGGATTATTATCAACTGGAGAAGATCACTGGGTTGCCACGTGCTGAGATCATCCAGTGGTTTGGAGATACTCGGTATGCCCTTAAGCATGGTCAGCTGAAATGGTTTCGGGACAATGCTGGGCAGAGTCCAGAGTCTGCCCCTTTGTTACCTCCTCCTTCACTGCCTACACAAACACATCCGGTCACAAGCCATCCAAACACAAGCCCGCTGGAGCGCTATTGGGCAGCTCATCAGCAATTACAGGAGAAGGACCTACCAGCACTCTGTCATGAATCAGGTATGGATGTTGAGCAGGTGCTGAAGTGGTTCCGTTCACATTCACCAGCACCGTGTGAGGTGGAAGTATGCTTGGGGGATGAGGACGAGATAGACGAGGAGGTTGCAGCAGCAATGATAAAAGACGAAGATGAAGACTATGAAGAAGAAGAAGACGATGACGACGATGATGAAGAAGAAGACAATGATGGCGATGAAGACTGGGTTGCCTAGAACTCTTGCATAGATGCTAGAGATTCTGGCTTTTGGGGGTGGGTTTGACAGAAGGATTGAGGAGATAAATAAATTAGTAAGGTTAGGAGCAAGGTCTCAGCTTGTATAAAACTCCTACCATTGCAATTTGCAATGTTGCAAATTGGGGCTACTTTCATGTTCAAGAACCTGTCTATTTTTTCTCAGGTTTTAGAATTTAAGTAAAATCTGTTGGTTTGTCCCTCTGGCTCATTAATTGTGTCTTTAATCACAGAGTTGAAAGAGTGCTGGAAACTGAGCTTCCAACCCTCTTTCAGATTCCAGTCCATCAGCCCTTTCAGCTGTGTGTTTTATCTGAAGGAGCATCTTTCATTTAAGTGTCAAGTTGCTGTTTATTATGCTAATAGAACCTACATTGGTTTCTCCTTCTAGAATCCTGTTGAAGGTTTTCTTTTTTGTTCTTGAATTCTAAAGCTGGTACTTTCCTTAATTATCATAATGCCTTGAATTCAGACCTGGCATAAGAAGAACTACCCTGATTCTGTGCTTTGCCTCATTTCTTCCAACTCATTCTTTTATTCCTGCTTCTAGACAGATGCTGGCTAAAGTTCCAAGGCTTTGGATTCGCATATTTCTAGGGATCTCGATGGCTGTGTTTGCCAATATACAGCAATGCTTTTTTCAGTTCTATCCAGGTCATATATAGCTTCTGGTAACTCTGAGTGCAGTTTATTTCATTCTACAAGTGGAAGCAATAGTCCAACCTATATGATTTGCCTTTCCGTTAAGGCAATTTTCAAATCAAGGATTCTGTGCCATCAAAATAATAATAATAATAAAAGAAAAGAAAGACTCCATACTTCAGATCGTTGGGCTATAATTCACCCTTTCTTGGTTATTTCTATTTATTACGGGCCTTTGTATCTATAGTATGTGTTTCAAATCTGATCCTTTAAAAAATGACAAATACCAGTTCTTGATTTTTGAGGTGTGGAACGCAGTAGAATTTAAGATCGTGTCTGTGGATTTTGTGTGCTGTAATTTTTGAGAGGGATGTGTGTATGTCTGGAGCATTTTTTTAAAAAAAAACCTTTCATCTTTGTTTCTGTTACTTTCTCCCTACTTCTATCTTTGATGGTTTTCCAGATTTCATGTGTATATCATCTTTCACTTTTCTTTGTTCCTATGTGGACTCTCCTTCCTTCCATAAACACTTTAATTCATCAGTCTCTACTCTCTGCATGTCTTCTTACTTCAGTCCAATTTTTCTTTCATGTACCCATTCTGCACTAGTTGGATAATTCTATAAACTGAAAGCCATTTTCCACTTCAGTCTACTTGGAGATCTGGTAAAATGTGGTGGCCGTTTATCTTGTGAAAGAATTTTAAGAAGGAGGGCAGTGGCATTATTTGCCTGGTATCCTCATTCTGTTTATAATGGCCAGGCACTAACTGAAACACCACCACAAATAACCCAATATGCAGTATGAGGAAGATTAGGTCTTGAATGTTCACAAAAGATGAAAGTCAGGATAGATTCTGGGATCTTTAGAGATACTAGGTAGGAAACAGTACTTACTTAATATTAGAAATAATCTATAATGGGTATTAATAATTTGCTTTCAAAAACACTTCTTAAATTACATTTCTAATAATTTTTACAGAACCTGCTTTTAAAAAATATTTATTAAACAATTTTTCTAATAATTTTTACAGAACATCTACAAAAACAACACCCATTTCTCCTGGCAAGAGAAACTGAAAATACTGTAATACGTTAATCAGCGATACACAGAGAAAAGATGGCACGTATCCTGTACAATTCTTTGTGAATCAGTTCCAATACCGTAACTTGTTCAAAATGTATTTGCACAGATAAATAAAATAGACTGACCTCTGGACTGATTACTTAATAAACAGCCAAAAATAATATTTTGGAGACTTCTCTTGATAATTAGTTTTGCCTTCAAAAGAAGAATCATTTCCTTTTCTATCTTCCAAAGCTTGTGTTTCTGATGCTCACCTATATATCCTCAATATGGGATACAGACAAAGTAGTTCCATATTATGGGGATGAAATAAATGAAATCTTTGAATTTTGCACAGTGATGTTTGCTGCATTTTAGTAACCGACAATCTCAAAGGCACCTCCACGCTTCTTCCTAAAACAATCTGATCACAGTCTGAGCAAAATTATTCTAAGATCCATAGGCAGTCTGAATAACTGTAGATTCGTAATGCTGACCTGAGGTAAAGTTCACCAGCTGTACTTTTAACCCTCTGTCCTCCAATAGAAACCCTATAAAAGTTTATCAAACCACTGGTGTCTGCCATGTGAGATGTCACCAGAAACTGTATGAGTTTTTTTGGGTGTGTTATGTGTGAAAGAAAGAATGGTGCTAACCGATGACTTCAATTGAGCTTCAAAATGCAGGGAATGAACGCTGTCAGATGTCAGAGCAAGGTACCCTACCTTGCCTCTATTGGCTGATGAAATGCAGAAATGCTTGCGTACTCCCCCCATTATTGCTGGTGGACTTCCATGATGGATGAGTGCCTGGGAGAAAGTGTAATGAGCTAATTGCATAGACGGTCTTCTTATTTCTAGTACAAACCCCTGTTTCCTGGTTCAGGATGTAGTGAAGTGTGGGGCCTGAGTTTTTCCTCTCTTTTTTTCTAATTTATTTCAGGGGGGGTGCAGAGGAATGGAGGGATAGTGTGCTTGATAATGCCAATCCCCACACTTTGAAACATTAGATTAAACCGACTTGCAAAACTAGAGGGACGTGGTGGCGCTGCAGATTAAACTGCAGAAGCCTCTGCGCTACAAGGTCAGAAGACCAGCAATCGTAAGATCGAATCCACGCGACAGAGTGAGCTCCTGTCACTTGTCCCAGCTCCTGCCAACCTAGCTGTTCGAAAGCATGTAGAAATGTGAGTAGATAAATAGGTACCACCTCAGTGGGAAGGTCACGGCATTCCGTGTCTAGTCGCGTTGCCCACATGACCACGGAAACTGTCTTCGGAGAAACGCTGGGTCTATGGCTTGGATACGGGAATGAGCACCGCCCCCTAGAGTTGGACACGATTGGACTAAATGTCAAGGGGAACCTTTGCCTTTACCTTTCTTGAAAAACTAGGGATTAGCGAAACTATACCCTCTGGTATTCATCATCCTGTTTGTTCAGGAAATTGTTAGGATTTCATATTTTCTCTATATGGTTCTCTGCACAGCATGCTGAAGAGTAAAAGCTAGCTTTCAAGAAAAGCTTCATTTCTATAGCAATATTTTCTCCATCTTTTAATGCTACATCATCTTTCATACACCTATGGGTATAGATTAATTTCATGGTCTTTCAGAGCTCTCTGTCATGAACTCTATTCATCTAGTCCCTAAAGGGAGGATGGTGAAAAAGGCAGTCACATTCCCCTTACCGGTTATGAAAGGATGGTGTTGAATGAGGTGTAAATCTCAGCTAGAAAAGAGAAAGGAAAGTAGTCACACAAATTATTCTAGTAATAGCTTCATACAATCCCATGTTCCATACAGACACACTGTCTCTCACCTGTATGGGGCGCAGCCTCTCAGTGATCTGACTTTCTGACATAGAAACTCCATCTCTCTCTGTGGGCCAAAACCAATATGGAATTGAACTTTGGAGTATACTGTACATAATAGGAATCTGGAGCAGGGTGGTTTCTATTGCCTTAACATCTCAGATTACATTCTTGTGACTTCACTTTCCAGTAACTTCTGCTAAAGAGGACTATAGTGTTAAGTGAACAGTAATACTTGGTATAGAGAAAATGGAGGGAAAGAATATAGAATAAAGGGTGTCTTCACGGCAAGGTGCCCTTTCCTCACCAGTAAAGATGTTGAAATTTAAGTATGGGGTCTCCTGTCGTTGCCCACTTTGACTTTGCCTCACAGCAGGAGGCTGTAGGTTGAAGACATTCATGCTGGGGGCGTGGGATGAGGAGGGAGAGGCCCTGAAAGGAATAGTGGGAAGAAGGGTGATATATGCAAATTTCACGAGTAGATAATATTAAATGCACATCTTTTTTTAAAAAAAATGATCAGGTGATGGTAGCATCCTGGAAGGTGAAGCTGCCTCCCACACCCTACAACTCACCTGTAGAATAAACTTTGAGTGGACACTGGAGAAGGAGTAGCTGCAAAATAGAACTTTAAATCTTTAGGGTGGAAATGAATGCTAGGGAGTTTGTAGAGTGGTGATGGGAAGAACAAGGTTAAACCCATGGGCCTCTCTGTGGGTATCTACATTAAGATAAATATTGTAGATTAGAAGGATATCATTTGGTCCATTGGCAAGGCAAGATACTGTTCCTTGTTGAGGACTGATAAGATGCATTCCAACAGTAAGATAATAGGGTGCCCTTTGGCTGCTACTAATATTCTGCCCTGGTAGAAATGTACTGGAGGACGTGGCAGTGGCAAAAGCTTGCATTCTGTTATTTCTGTCTCTGTATTGCCACCTTTTGGTTTCTTGAAATATTCATTGTGAGCAAATAGTAGGGGTTCACCCTGCCTCTTGTTTCTAATTAGTTCTTACCCTGAGCAGAGTCTGCTGGGGTCCTCCTGGTGGCTCCTGTGGCATGCTGGATAAAAGTGAGACAATGCAGCTATTTTTTATTTATTTAGAATGTTTTTAAGAGGAGAGTACAGTATTTAAAGTTGTTCACATGATGAAACATGGCATTGTTTAAACATTTAAAAACATCTTAATCCTAAAGTTTTGATGGTAGTTGCTTCTGCATTCCTCCTTGAATCTTTAATTCCTCCTTGGGTCATGTGTGCCTTATGAACAAGATGTTAACCAGCATCTCCAGATTTTTGGAACAATCAGTGGAAAAGGGTGATGAGGGAAATATTATGCAGAAAGGCCTATTTTCCAGTTTCCAAAATCTAGGTGGCACTGTTGTCTCCTTAGAGCCCTGGTAGCCACAAAAGATAACTCTTCTATTCCGACACAATATTTTTACCCCCTTCCCCCAAAGCCTAGGTAAAATAAATTATTATTGTTCAAAGAGACCAGGAGCTTCTCTGCATCTGAATGGATACAATCCGTGTCTCTTAGCTTCCAGAACTTCCTACAAATCCATAAAGACCGAAACAACCGTATTTGTTCTGTTTTATGAGAACAGGAAAGCAGTGGTGGGAACTTACTTGCCAGTTCAGTAAGTGACTGCCTCGGGAAGAGATAGACTCCATAGAAGAAGAACGGCTTTGAAAGAAAGAAAAAGTCAAGAAACTGTTGGTGGAAAACTAAACACACAAGCAGGCAGACAGTATCCTGATATAACCCTAGGCAAAAGCCTGGATTTTTCAATGCAGAATTCTTATTTCATTATTCAAGAACTGACTGGAGGAGGGAATTTATCTGTAAAAGTCAGATTTTTGGAAGGAATGTATTTATTTATTTCTTAGATTTTTACCCCGCCCCCCCGACAATGTCTACTTGGGGTGGCTTACATAGATAAAAACACAACAATATGACTTGCATAAAATCATCAAAGACATAGTTAAAGCAATTAATTCCAAGCAACATATTTCCAAGATGGCATGATTCAAGGAAGAAAAATAAAGATCAATTGACTGGAGGGAAAGCCTGTTTGAAGAGCCAAGTTTTAAAATGGCTTTTGAAAACACAGCGAGAGTGCCAGCCGAATTTCAGTTGGGAGGGTGTTCCATAGCTGAGGGGCCACCGCCGAGAAGGCCCAGTTTCTTGTTTTTTCCTTCCGGGCCTCTCTCGGAAGGGAGAGAAGCAGATGTTCCTAGATCCTTTCTTAGAAAGTATTTAACAATGCATCATATCAGTTACCAAAGAATATGTTATTTCTTATTCTCCTACCTGACAACTTCACTGGAGCGCTGGAAAATAGGCCGTGGTGTGACTGCAAAGTATAAAACAGTGAATTATTATGTACAGTATATTGTCCTAAAGGGAAATGTTGGTCTGAGTTATCAACAGAGCCATGGGAGATGGAATTGCACTGAATATTTCTTTCCTCAAGTAACAAAAAGATCTGCATGGTTACTAAGTTTTCTTGGATGTAACAGAGACTTTAACATGCTTTAGTATATGCTTTGTACATGCACTCCAGATTTCTGTATGCAAAGACATTTTCGGTGCCCCCCCCTCGCGCAACCTGGTCAGGTAAAGGTACAAGGCAAGACCATATGTACCCACATGTTTATCTTCAAAAAGATAAACTGCTATCTGAAAAGTTGCCCAGAATTCCACTGCATGCTAGCAAGAGCCTTGTCTAACTCCTTACCTCTCTGTGATGGAGGAGTGATGGCAACTGGCCTTGGTGTACTGTTCCTGTAGCAAGTTAAAATGAATGTTGTTTTGTGAGGGTAAAAACTGTTTAACCTTGACATACAGTAGATATTCTGCTATCCTATGTTCTCAAAATCAACTCCCTTGTGCTGCCAGAAGGAGCCTTTGCTGCCTCTAATTCATCTGATGATCCCAAAACGACAGAATAGACAAACTGACCTGCTACTCTCCTGGAGTCTTGGAACAGACTGCTGAAAGAAAAAGAAGGGGATGGCAGGACCCAGAAGTATGTATAACACAGAGAAAGGTTGCTTTGCTTTTCTATTCTCTGTAGAGGAATTATTCTTTCCAACATAGGCAGTCAAGAACCAAAAAAATGGAAAATACTTGTTTTTAACAAATAAATCCTACCTTCAAGGTGAGGTACTTCTTTTTCAATTCCCTGTTTTCCTTCCGAATTTCCTCCAGTTCCCTAAATGTAGTGGGAAAAAGATACATGAAAGATAGTTTGATTTAGAATTGTATACTTTCTTTTATACTTCATCTCTCATGCCAGCCTAGACTGTTGAGTCCTCATCAGGAAATGTTTTGGCAATGATGGACAACTGAGACGAGGTTTATGTCACTGAGGTTATAGAAATCCTTATGTCCATTTCACAAATAATTAACATGTTCAGACATAGTAACGCAAGTCAAAAGGGAGCTGGAAAATGGATTCCTGTGTAAAAAGGAATAAAGAGGAATATACAACCTTCAGAACACGGCCAAAGAGCCCAAAAAACCCACAACAACCATCAGATCCCGGCCGTGAAAGCCTTCGAGAATACTTTCTTGTATAAATCGGAAGACAAATTAAGGATGTTTCAAATTACTTTATTGGCAAGAATTTCCTTGTTATGTCTTGGAATGGATTCCTGTATGTGTAGACAATGCAAATGCTATGGAGAGCTTCCTGAATATTATTATTCACAAAATAACATATTTTCCTACCTTTTCCTGAAGGAGCTTAAATGGTTTTCCCTCACCTCATTTTATTCTCACAAAAACGCCATGAAGCAAATTATACTTAGAAAGAATCATTGGCTCCAGTATTATCCATCAAGTCTGGTATAGTAAATGAGTTAAAGTTTTAACCTGGGTTATCCTAGTCTTACATTTTAACCTCCAGCTCATGCTGACTGTACTAGCCCCTGTAGTCATGGCTAATAGTGTTTGCCTTTCTTCATGTGAACACAATCTGCATATCTCACTTTTCCTGGGTAGACAGTTTTTGCACTGCTTGCTGTAGGGCTCCATTAGCTTTTGAAGCGTTGTGTTTGTAGAAAGATACCAGCAGTTCCATCTGGCCTTTCTGGAACATCCACACCTAGGAAGAAAAAAAAAACGATGGGACAAAATTAGAAGATTTAAATATGTATCTTTTGAATAAGACCCATGGGGAGATTTTGACTTGGTTGTGGAACATGAGGGGTGACGCAAAACACCTTTCAATTTTGCAGGCTCTAGTTGAGGGAAGGGATGTATCACAGGGATGGAGCCCGTATCTTGTATGTAAATAGTCACATATCCAATCCTTGTAGTCATGCTAGACCAGGGATGAGAAGCCAGGGCTGTAGCACAACAACATCTTGAAAAATACAGGCTTACTAACTGCGGTGCAGACACTTCTGGGAAAACAGACTGACTTTGCATAAAGCAGCATCATGTATTTTAATGCTGCCTCAGGTGACATCTTTTGCACTGCACTGAAATACTTGTGGGACACACATTCTATTCAGCAAATGACAATCTGACAGAACAAGGAGATACGATGGATAGGTTGATAGGAATGTGTGTGTTTGCCTATCTATTCTCTGCTCACCAAGCCCTTAAATTACTTTTAAACTGGGAAGTTCTAGATTAGAGGGAGCATTTTAAAAGGAAGATTGACCAATGCCCCCCCCCCAAAAGCCTGACAACAACCCTCTGGTAGATTTGTAGTGTGATATATGTATCTCTTTTCTGGCTAATATTTAGTCACTTCTGCAAGTTTGGCTCATCAAAACAACAGGCTAAAGCAATCACGGGGAACAAGCAGTCCATGAATTAAATGTGAGGCAATTCTTCTTTAGCCTACCAGTTTCTTTTGACCTCATCTGATCGGTGATTGGAAGGGACAGATAAGAAGGTATTCAAAGCCCAGGAAGATATTCCCTGGAGCAGGATTCTGTTTTGCAACCCAGAAGCCAATAGAAGTAATTGACAAGAGGAAAGGTAGTAAGTTACTAACAGTTCTTCAGTGCACTGTCTTATGAAAACATACATGAAATAAACTCACTTATGCATTGGTCCATGTTATAAAAATATAACAGTTGTGAAAAACGACCAGATAAAATTTAAAATGTAAAAGCTCTGAAACAGATGCACTTTTCTTGAAAGAGAGCCTTCCCTGCTGTAGTTTCCTATCTTTGGAAGTCCCTTGGGGGGGTGGGGGAACTCACCTGTCATTTTAAACTGCTGTCTTTTCAGCATCAATTAGGACATTTTAGGCCCTTCTAAATATTTTATTTGTTTAACTCTTGCTTAAAATTGCTGGCATACCACTTCTAAGTACTTTATACCTAGAAAAACCCCGGGAAGGATGGCGATATTTTGTAATCAATTTGACAGCTCATAATTTAATAATTTCTTTTGGAGGAAGGAGTCAGCATGGTCTGAGGACCCCTTAAGCCAATTGGAATACTCATCAGCTCACAAGTCTCTTGTTTTCATAAGGTATTCTGCCATTTCTCAAACATTCTATAAATTTACTGCATGTTATGAGTTGCGAGTTACTGGGTTTCCTTTCCTTGTGTTGCACTTCAGTTTACCAGTTGCTTCGACTTAGTCTAGGATTTAAGGTTTATGAGATCAAGTTCCCAAAGTATCTGGTTTCTCATACTTACTTGAGAAATGTGAGCAATATAGTTTAGTGCTGTTTCAATAGGACTTCTGAAAAACTTTTTTTCCTCTGGTTTTATCTGAGGATAAGAAAGGCAGAGAAAGGAAAACAAGAAACAAAGCCTTTATGACTATCTAAAGAAGCAAATGAAATAGAAATGTTCTAGTTATAGTCAGTTCGTGGTCTACAGAGATTCAAATCTATCTTCACTCATTGAGTGACTTTTAGTATGGTTTACCTTTTGCATAGCATACTACATTAAAACTAGAGAATTTTAGCTTCACAAGAACATGTGGGTATATATTGTTCTATCACCCCAGCTAAACAGCCCATGTACTTTTGACTTGTAGTTTGTTTGTTGTGATACATAATCCATTAGTTCCGGTTCTCTGGCCCTAGACAAGCCAGAATAATAAGCTAAGAACAAACCATGGTTCTGGGGAGAGAAAAGACAGGATTACTAGTTCGTATGTCATAGTTTATTGACAAATAAGCCATAGTTTGCTTAGCTGTTCCTGCTCACAAGACAAGCATGAGCAATCAGTTGAAGTATGTACCAGAAAAGCACCTAATTGTTAACAAGCCAGAAATCTTTAGAATTCTGCCATATTATGCAGTGTAAACATAGTCACTTTGCCAGCCAAATTCATGCATGTATAATACTGGAATATGAATTTATTTATTACAATTATGTCCTGTTTTCCCTCTAAGGGCAGCAACGTGGCATACATGTTTTCTCTACCATTCTCATAACAATCCTATTAGGTATTTTAGACTAAGAGATAGAATAAAATTCAAGTAACCTAGAGTACAGTACTTTGGTTGAGTGGGGTTTGAACTTGAGTTTCCCTTATGCTATAATGGATAAATAATGACCCTTGTATTGTGAGGATAAATAGGAGTTGAAATTCTGTCAATGTAAAGTGTGCTACAAACATTAGTAATGTAATGTAATAACTGAAATAATTCTTACAGATACGCCTGCCGTTAGAGTAGAAGATATGAGGAAACCTTGTCCAGCCCAGCCCTACATCTTCCCTGTAATAACTGCTTCCTTCATGATTTAAAGATACAGAATTGTTTTCAAAAGTACAATACAGGGAATGCTTGGCATATATAAAGAATTCTATATACTGAACTATTCCCAGCTTCTTATAAGTCTCTTCATTCTTTTGACCCCATGAAAAGCCAACAACCATGGGCTTTTAATAGGCATCACTTTAATTTCAAGTTGCATTTTTAAAAGAATACATTTAACATTATCACACCTTCAAATGGGAAAGGTTGCCAACCCAGGAAAGAATGCTGCATAGGAATAATATATTTCATCATTCCTCTCAGTATTTGATTCTCCTGTGCTTCATAAATATGTTCATATATTAGCCCAAGTGGATGTGATATAAATAGAACACATGCATTTTGGAAGCCAGAAAGAAAGCTGGTAACACCACCATAGAGAAACCACAACTTACATTATCATTGAGAAACAAATATTTGCAGCTTGTTCCACAAGACGGGCATTTATCTGTGACAAAGTGCAAACTTTGTTAGTATATCTATGGAAAATTAATATAAATAGTATCGAGCTCTCTAAGCACATTAGCAAATCTTCAAAAAAAAATTTAGCATTTGTAACATTGTGTTAATACAGACCATTTGGATTTTTATCTCAAAGAGATTAAAATTATTAGAACGTTTCCTGTTGTCAGGTAACTGCTGAATGTTACTAAGAGGTAAACAGCACATGACCTATGCGTTTCCATGTGAAGCCTGGTATGAAGGTTTACACTGTCCACTTTTGTTCTGAGGTGTGTTTTAGGGAAATCAGTGTGTGGAACTGCCTAAACGTCGTGTACAAAACATGGTACAAACATGTCTCATTTCCCAAAAGGTAGCTGTGTCCGTCTGTTTCAGGATGTATAACAAAAACAAAGGACTGTGGCACTTTAAATCTAACAGATTTATTTCAGTAGGAGCTTTCATGGATTACATCCACCTCGTGAGACACATGTAATAAAATATCTAGGTCACAGGCTTATATATACAATATACATGGTTGTGGGGGAGGTATCAGAGTGAAATGGGAGACAGAAGATGAGAAATGTATTCCCTTAAGTCTTCCATAACGTTGAGGGTTCATTTACTTGTTTATCTTCTAATGAGATATATGCCATCCTCTGCCATAAGGGCCCCTCTGCATTCGACATAGGACAAACAGGACAGTCTCTACGCAAGAAAATAAACGAACGCAAATCTGACACCGTAGGTGGAATCACACACAAGCCAGTGTCAGGAACAGTCTGTCCCTGATCTCAAGGTAGCTATTGTAGAAAAACAGAATTTCAAAGGCAGGTTTGAGAAGGAGATGAACTGTGAAATATTCAGAAATTCCAGTCTTCAATAAAAGGCTTAAACAGAGATAACATTTCTTAGCACACACTATATAAACAAGCTGGTATTTCATTATAATCTTGTGCCATAGCTAAAATGGTGTGTGGTTTTTCTTTTTCTTTTTTTTTGGGGGGGGGCGGAATTAAAACTGCTTCATCACAATTGATTCTTTCTTGACAGCAGCACTCCTTGCTTCTACATTTCAAAGGCAGCAGCTGAATAATGGTTATGCTCTCAGCTGCAGACATTCATCCTTAGCCAATGACTCTACTTATAGCCAGAATGCTGTGTAAATCAACACTTCCAAAGTTCATTACCGATATTAATAATGCAATTGTCATCTTCTATGTTCCATTTCATTTGATTGCTTTCATTCTGCAACACTTTCTGTATAAGCCTATGGCCTAAATATTTTATCCCATGTGACTGAGGAAGTGGGTTGTAATCTGTGAAAGCAGGCATTGAAATGAAGTTCTGAATAAATCTGTTAGTATTAAAGGTGCCACAAAGCATTGTTTTTGTTTGAAGTTTTGTTTTGTTTTGTTGTTTTGTTACACATATCATTTTATTACTCTTACCTGTGCCGGCACATTTTTTGCAAAATATGTGCCCACAGCTAGTGACGCAAAAGTCAGATGCCTCCTGACGGAAGCATTGATTGCAGTGAAACCAATCCATGTTGCAAGAGGCAGAAGGGAGACGGATCTCCTATTCAACTTCTGTTGGGAAAGGTGAAGAACAGGTCAAATTTTCTTGGGACAGGGGAAAATACAGACAATTATGGCAGACAATGAAGTGGTAGCCATGCAATGGAAAAGTAATATGGAGGAAGGTCAAGAAATAATGGAGAAAGGATGAAGAGACATCTGTTTATGATAAAGATGTGGAAACGAGTACATCTCTATCACTAATGACGGACAGACAGAATGTAAGTTTAGATGGAGGTATTCTTTTCCGGGACTATAGTGTGTACATTTTAAAATGTAAAGGTATTTTGAACTTGTTAGACATCTTGTCAGTTGAGGATAGATAGGATAACATCCCTTTAACAGAATACTCTCCCCTCCTGACACTGTTATTAATTTATAAAAATCTGCCCTATCTCATGAGTTTAGGGAGGACTGTAGCAATTTCATTAGGGTGAATATAACAGAAAATATCCCGCCACCAAGAATTAGTAATTTCTGGACATAAAAGATCCATTTATTTCAGTTGCACAGTTGAGCATGCACTTTAAGTCTCTTCCATTGAAATCTCAGTTTCAGAGCACTTGAAAAACCCAAACTGCAGCAGGAAATAATAAAATGTTTTTCAATGGGTTGCAGTTATGTTGCATTCTTAGCCAGGGGATCCAGCATTTGGTTGAATCCCCATAGCAAAGAGGGATTAATCTGAAGAGTCAATCTCCTTGATCCTTGTGGTTGTGTTTTGTTTTGTTTTTTTTGGGCAGGGCAGCATTGTAATAAAATCACAGCTCTCACTGATGTAATGAAACTCATGTTTCTGCACGAATAGCTGTGCCACAGGATGCGCTATCTATTACTTTTATGATGCAGGGATTACTCTGTATTACAGCGTTAAGCAGCAGTGCCTTCCAGATATTTCTGACTACAATTTCCATAAACCACAGACAGCATGGTCAGGCATTATGAGGAATATAGTCCCAAATACTGTATGTGGAAACTACCAGGTTGCCTACCCCTGCTATTCTGTTGCCCTCTATGTGAATTGTGATTAAGCAACAGATTTTTTTTTAGGTTTTGAAATTCTTAGGTGGTCTTAACTCAGTGGTAGAACATGCAGAAGATCCAATCTCTAAGTTGTTTTGGAAACATCTTTTGTTGGAAATCTCGGTCAGCAACACAGAAGATACTACGTCTGTGCTTTTACTGCACAGTCCATGGACAGAAATGCAAGGTGTGACTGGATGCTAGATTTGGAATACAGTATCTTAATTTAAAACAGTGTAAACAGGACCCACACTTTTGAGCCTCAGTTTATAGTATGCCCCAGATTGTTGTCATCTCATTCACAGTACTATTTGTGGACATAGATGTGTCCTGTGATCTAGCTGCAGGTTTTGTGAGAAGGATGCAGCGTTTGCACCACGTTGGCACCATGATGTACTCAATTAGTTCTTTACAAAGTGCAATCCATGAATATGGGCATGATTGGTTGATGGAAATGGACTGTCTCCATCTATGATCTTGGATTCGTGTCTTTCTAGTCCACAAAAATGTACAATGAATGTAAGGGGTGGAAAGATACGGTTCTTGTTGTAACAGTTACCCAGCTACTCTTTGTAAACAGAAAAAATGTATCAGGCTGGAGACCGCCGTTTGGGAAAATCCTTAGAAAATAAGACAGCTGCAGTACATACAGAGTCTATGTCCTAATGAATGCTTATTTTGAAAGTTTGAACCCACAGAGCAGCTTGTCATTAATAAGAAGCCTCCTCTTGAACAACCTAATCGATGCCTTTGGTTTTATTTAACTTGGCCCCAATGAAAGTAAGCTGTGCCACATGAATCTACCTATTTTTACAGAGCCCTCCCCCGCTCCGTCAGTTGTGCAGCCAACCCTATAAATGAGCAATGAATAATGTGAAGCGTGTGGTGGGGAGAGCGTCGGCTTCCTTCAGAACTCGCACCTTCTCTTTCCCGCCTTTTTTTTTCACTTTGGCCGCCTCAGCGTGGCTGTAAGGAGCGACGGTTGGGAAAAGGGCGGGAAAAGCGGCCGCGAGCCGCGAAGGGGCGGGGCTTAGGCGCGGGGCGGTTATAGGGGGCGGGGTGGGGAGGTGCAAATGGCGAGGTTTGGGAAAGTCAGTCGTCTTTTAAATGGAGACGGAGGGGACGCAGGCGAGGAAGAGTTTGGGCGTGGGGTGAAGATAGTGAAAGTTAAGACAAGCATGGAGGCAGAGAAGGAGTTGAGGGATCAGAAGAAGAGGGAGTAGTTTGGAGCTGGGCAGGGAGCCTCTGAGGCGGAGGAGAGGCTGAGGGAGACAGGCTTGGTTAGGGTCAGGGTTATCTTGTGAGAGAATAAGGACACCTGGGTTCAGACGGCCACCGACCCATGAATATAACTAGGGGGATTTTGAGCCAAGCCACACTCTCCCTGGCCTACTTAGGAGGGTTGTTTGTAAGGAAGAAGTGGAGAGGAGCCCCCCCCAAAAAAGGTCACCTTGAGTTTATAGAAAAGTCAGGATACAAATAAATAGGGCATTATAAGTAAGGGAATAACAGACTCAGCTTGATGTGGAGTGATGTTACACGATGACTCCTTTTGCACATTTAGAGGTGGAGTTGGATTATTTACTGACACGTGCCCCCCCTGCACGCACACCATGGGTCTGCTGTCAAAATAGGCACATTTGTTATTTATTAATTACTGTACATTATATAATATTTCCTCCACCAGGTGTTACATGCCTTGCCCCTCCTGCCAATGCCAATGTCATCCTCCTGGCAGTCCTATGAGGTAGTTCAAGATGATAAGAGTTGGGTGGCAGAAAATCAGCTGAAGAGTTTCATACCTCATTGGGGACTTGGTTTTGGATTTCCCAAATCTCATTCTGACATACTAAAAATAAAGGAATATTGGGGAATTACTGTGGATGGCAGCAGGAAGAGAGGATGACCAAATATCAGAGGGACTGACTCCCTAAAGGAAGCCACAAGCTTGAGTCTACAAGAGCAGAGCAGCTGAAGACAGGGCATTCTGGAGATTGCTCATTCATAGGGTTGCCATGGCTTGGAGGCAACTTGACAGCACAAGACAACAAAAAATTAAACCACACTTCTTCTCAAACATGTTTTATGGTTTCTTCATCTAAGGAGCAGTTTTAACCTGTAGCTTTCCAGTGTCTGGAGAAGTCCCATTGCACGTACATCTAACTGCCAATGTGCATCCAGCAGAGAATATGGCCAACACATGCACTGGAGTGTAAGGGATATTGCTATTAAGCAGAATAATATTCTGTACTTGCAAACTGAGGAAAACATGTTTGGGTCATGTAAATCCTTTAATACAAAAGTGTCAAGCAGAACAAAAGCAATTACACAAGTCAGGAGAAATAAAAAAGTATGTGGAACAGAAGCAGAATTCTTGTCTATTCATATCTGGGGCAAAAAAATAAATGGCTTCTATCCCATTTTTAATCCTACAAAAGAACCCCAAGTCAATTTATAACAATAAAATCTCAACACAGTTTTAATAAAATAGTCAAGGGCAGAGTAAAAGTAAATAAAGCAGGACTATAACTAGCATGATTAAAACATGCTATAACAACATGAGAATAAAGCTAGCTATAAAACAACAGACTTCTGGAATCTGGGTGCTGTCAGTTAAAAGGCGCTTTTTGTGGCTTACACCAGTTGAACTTTCTTTGCCTTGGAGCAAAGATGACAGTAACTGACAGGCGGGTGCATAAAGACACAGATGATTCTTCAGAAGGTTGTATTAAATGCTAGTAAAAGCACAGAGGAAAAAGATTTTACTGGCTAGTAAGATATATTAACAAAGGCATAAGATACACATTCCTGGAGAATATGTTCTACAGTTCGGGTGCTACTAATGGGAAAAAAATTATCCCTTTTGGCCACTTATTGAGCTTCCCTGACCCATTGATTTAAGAACTGATAAAGAAGGTGGAAGTGGGGATGTGGAAGAAAGAGGAGGATGAATTATTTTTCTATAATGATTTACTGAGTGATGCTGAAAGAAGTTGTGGATGGAGCTGAGAAAAGAGAAATTAGAGAATAATGAAAGGAGACTCCAAGTCAGAAGTGGAGATATTAAAAGTAGTATTTGAATGAGGGGGAAAGGGTGCTAATAGAGAAATGAGAATGCTAATACTGTATAGAAGTGAAGGAGTTGAAGAGAAACAGTGGGAAGCAGTTAATGAAAATTATCATTGAGAAATAGGAGGATGTTGCAAGTAAGTAAGAAATCCTGCAGTGGCATTCAAGGTAGCAGCTCATTAATAAAGCAAAAGCTAGGAATGAAGAAAATTGTTAGGAGAACAGTGTGTTATATACAATGGCCACCTTTGAGTATGTTTGCTGCCTGAGAAGGAGCTTCAGTGGGCCAAGTGTTTCTGAACTACAGTATAGTGTCTAACTAATCCAAGGAAAGCTTCATCTGTCCAACCATTGCCTGCTGGGCATACAAGAACACTGCCAGAAGAAAAAGTATGCCACCATAACACCTTTTTTTAAAGAACCAGTAACAAGATACTGTACTGTACGTTGATTCTGAATGATGGGCTATAGATACAAGGAAGATTATATTAGTGGGCTATAATGTAATCTGCTATCCTATCCAGGCAATTTCTGTCATACTATGGTAGTTTTAGATTTTTGTAAGTAGGAGCAGGGACGTGGTGGTGCTGTGGGTTAAACTGCAGAAGCCTGTGTGCTGTAAGGTCTGTAGATTTCAGCTGTAAGATCAAATCCACGTGACAGAGTGAGTGCCTGTCACTTATCCCAGCTCCTGCCAACCTAGCGGTTCAAAAGCATGCAAATGTGAGTAGATAAATAGGGACCACCTCGGTGGGAAGGTCACGGCATTCCGTGTCTAAGTCGCACTGGCCACGTGACCACGGAAGATTGCCTTCGGACAAACGCTGGCTCTATGGCTTGGAAATGGGGATGAGCACCACCCCTTAGAGTCAAACACGACTGGACAAAAATTGTCAAGGGGGACCTTTACCTTTACCTTTAAGTAGGAGGCAGAACAAGCATCAGCCCCCTGCTGAGGATACCTCTTGTAGAGATATCTGAATTGCTTCATCCTGTTGAAGGGCAGAGGTGTAGTGGAGACAGAACTTACTAGATCAGAAAACTGGCACTTTAGATACAGGCAATTAAGACCCATTAATCTGATAAGGAATTTGTTCCTGTTGTAGCTCAGAACTGCTACAGCTGGTTTGTTGATAAAGATCAACACAGTTACCTCCATTTTTAAATGCTGGATGAGATTATACTCCCTCTGAAAATACAGATGCACTAGCTGGGTGTGCTTCTGGATTCATCACTGACCCTAGATGCCCAGGTTTCGGTGGTGGCCAGGAATGCATTTGCACAATTAAAACTAGTGTGCCAGCTGTGTCCATTCCCAGAGAGGTCTGTTCTGCCCACAGTGACACATGCCTTAGTTACATCCTAGCTGGATTACTTTGATGTGGTCTACATGGGGCTACCCCTGAAGAGTCCCTGGAAAAGACCCTGATGTTGGGAAAGTGTGAAGGCAAGAGGAGAAGGGGACGACAGAGGAGGAGATGAGTGGACAGGGTCACTGAAGCGACCAACATAAATTTGACCCAACTCCAGGAGGCAGGGGAAGATAGGAGGGCCTGGCGTGCTCTGGTCCATTGGGGTCACAAAGAGTTGGACACGACTTAACAACTAAACAGCAACATGGAACTACCTTTGGAGAGTGTTCAGAAACTTCAGCAGGTTCAAAACACTGCAGACAGATTGCTGACTGGGACTAGTTGCAGGGATTGCATGACCTCCGTTTCCCTGTTACAGCAGCTCCACAGGCTGCAGATTGGTTTCCGGGCACAAATCAGAGTGCTGGTTTTAACTGTTTCCCTGTTACAGCAGCTCCACAGGCTGTGAGCACAATTCAGAGTGCTGGTTTTAACCTATAAACCCTAAACGGCTTGAGTCCAAGCTATCTCAAGGACCGCCTCTCCCTTTATGAGCCTGCCTGGCTATTAAGATCATCAGAGGAGGCCTTTCTCTCCGTCCCACCACCTTCACAGGTGTGTTTGGTGGGAAAACAGGACACAGCCTTTTCTGTCACTGTTCACAGAGTCTGTTACTCCTTCCCATGGGAGGCCAAACTGGCCCCATCTTTGCTGTCCTTCCACAAGCAGACAAAGACTTCTCTCTTCAGGAAGGCTTTCCCTTAATGACTAGCTGTCTGAGAGAGGTTTTTTTAATGGATTTTTGTGATTTGTTGCTTTGAACATGTTTTGTGGCTTATTTTGTTTACTTTTTTTAGCGTGGTATTTGTTTGGTCCTTCTTAAACATTTATATACTTACTGTTTTGACCCTTTAAATATTGTCTTTCAATGATGTAAGCCATCTTGGGTCCTCTTTAAGGAAAAAAGCAGGGTAAAATATTTTAAATAAATAATTACTCCTTAGGACTGTTATGATGAAAGTAAGTATAGTACAGTACTTCAAATACATCACTATCTCATTGTGTAGGTGCAGAAGTTTTACTTTCTTTCTTTTTCATTTTTTGTCTCATTCTTTCCTGTTTGAAGCATCCGTGGACTACCTCATTGAAGTGGACTATAGTCCACAAAAGATTATGCCATAGGACTCTTTGTTGCTCTTGTCTGGAGTAGCACTTCTCCTTTGCTCCTCTGGAAACTGTTTGCCTTGCAGTTGATACTGAGGCATTGACTGCTTTTCCCTTCTTCTCTGCTGTTATCGCCTCTCCTTCCTAACCCTGAACTTTGTTCTCCTCTATTCCTGCTGATATGATGATAAAAGAGTCAAGTAGTTCCCCAAGAGCTGGACTTCACCCCCACATTGCAGGAGAAGGTGCAGGATCAGCAGAGATGCAGAGGGAGAATCTGCCAAACAAGGGGAATTGGGGACAATGAACAGAAGGAATAGAACATGTTGCGGGGGAAGAAAGAAGCATAATAGGCTGCAGGAAGTCGAGGGCTGCATGCTATGTTCTGTCATTTTTAATCCTTTCTCCCTCATTTTTCCTGTGCCTTTTTTCTTCTGTCAGATGTCTCTTTTCCAACTTTGGAATGTGCTCAGAGGATAACAACAACAAATAATTGGCATTCATACTTTGCACACAGAGCAAGGTACTCAGGATGCTCCAACAACTGAGGAGGCAAAACAATAAAATTGTACAGGAAATGGGCTGTAATAAGCAATAAGTGGATAAATTGAAGCTTCTGAACAATGAATAGTAGGATGTGAATGAGGAGATAACTATATTTTTTAAAGAGTTGCTATGATTTGCTGAAGAAATACAGTTTTCTGTACATATGATTTTCAGTGTATATGTTTATTTCAAAGGCACTGCATATTGTCCTTTTTCAAAGAGCCAGTGCAGTGGGTAGACAGAGTGTTAGCTTAAGATGCAGAGGATCTGGGTTCAAATCCATGCTCAGTCACAGAAACTCATTGGCGGCTGGTAATTAAAGAGTTGCTATGATTTGCTGAAGAAATACAGTTTTCTGTACATATGATTTTCAGTGTATATGTTTATTTCAAAGGCACTGCATATTGTCCTTTTTCAAAGAGCCAGTGCAGTGGGTAGACAGAGTGTTAGCTTAAGATGCAGAGGATCTGGGTTCAAATCCATGCTCAGTCACAGAAACTCACTGGCGGCTGGTAAAGGCAGACTACTCCTTGGACAGAACATGTAGCTCAAAAAGCATTTTAGAGTTGCTATTAAATTGGGCATGATTTGACAACAGATAACAATCCTTCCCCAACCACAGCACTTTTACAAGTAAAAGAAACCTGCCCCTAATCTGAGGATTTTGCAATGTGAACTGACACAGGAGAGAGTTGCCGTGGGAAAGGGGTGGGGATGGAAACGAGGTAGAAGCTGGGTATCAATTTCATGAGGAAATTCAGTAGCATGTAAACTTGGCTCTCCTTGCAGGGAGCATTCCATCATTACCAAAAAGACAAATAGAGGAAAGAAAGCAGAACCCTAAAAGAAAGGACTTGGAACGTGAAAGCATAACAGTTCCAACAGGCACTTAAAGATATTTGAAAAAGAGAGGAGTGAAAGGGAGTGTAGAAGGAGGAATACGCATATAACACAGTGAAGACATTTAGGTATTCTAGAATAAGATTTTTTGTTGTTTAGTCGTCGTGTCCGACTCTTTGTCACCCCATGAACCAGAGCATGCCAGGCCCTCCTGTCTTCCACTGCCTCCCAGAGTTTGGTCAAAGTCATGGTGGTCGCTTCGGTGCCCCTGTCCATCCATCTTGTCCTCTGTCGTCCTCTTCTCCTCTTGCCTTCACACTTTCCCAACATCAGGGGCTTTTCCAGGGAGTCTTCTTTTCTTATGAGATGGCCAAAATATTGAAGCCTCAGCTTCAGGATCTGTCCTTCCAGTGAGCACTCAGGGTTGATTTCTTTCAGAACGGATACGTTTGATCTTGCAGTCCAGGGGCCTCTCAAGAGTCTCCTCCAGCACCACAATACAAAGCATCAATTCTTCGGCGGTCAGCCTTCTTTATGGTCCAGCTCTCACTTCCATACATTGCTACTGAAAAAAACATAGCTTTGACTATGCGGACCTTTGTCGGCAAGGTGATGTCTCTGTTTTTTAAGCTGCTGTCTAGGTTTGTCATTGCTTTCCTCCCAAGAAGCAGGTGTCTTTTAATTTCGTGGCTGCTGTTCCCATCTGCAGTGATGATGGAGCCCAAGAAAGCAAAATCTGTCACTGCCTCCATATCTTTCCCTTCAGTTTGCCAGGAGGTGATGGTGCCAGTGGTCATGTTCTTAGTTTTTTTTGTTTGTTTGTTTTTTTGATGTTGAGCTTCAGACCATTTTGTGTGCTCTCCTCTCTCACCCTCATTATGAGGTTCTTTAATTCCTCCTCACTTTATGCCATCAGAGTGGTATCATCTGCATATCTGAGGTTGTTGATATTTCTTCTGACAATCTTAATTCCAGTTTGGGATTCATCCAGTCCAGCCTTTCACATGATGTATTCTGCATATAAATTAAATAAGCAGGGAGACAATATACAGCCTTGTACTTCTTTCCCAATGTTGAACAATCAGTTGTTCCATTTCTAGTTCTAACTGTTGCTTCCTGTCCCACATATAGATTTCTCAGGAGATAGATAAGGTGGTCAGGCACTCCCATTTCTTTAAGAACTTGCCATAGTTTGCTGTGGTCCACACAGTCAAAGGCTTTTGCATAGTCCATGAAGCAGAAGTAGATGTTTTTCTGGAACTCTGGCTTTCTCCATAATCCAGTGCATGTTAGCAATTTGGTCTCTAGTTCCTCTGCCTCTTCGAAATCCAACTTCATTTTGAACTTCAAGGCCAAACTTAACTGTTGTTCCTTTTATTTCTTGACTCCCTACTTTAGCATTTCAATCCCCTATAATGACAAGAACATCTTTCTTTGGTGTCAGTTCTAGAAGGTGTTGTAAGTCTTCATAGAATTGGTCTATTTCAGCCTTTTCAGCATCAGTGGTTGGTGCATAAACTTGGATTACTGTGATGTTGAAAGGTCTGCCTTGGATTCGTATTGAAATCATTCTATCATTTCTGAGATTGTATCCCAGTACAGCTTTTCCCACTCTTTTGTTGACTATGGGGGCTACTCCATTCCTTCTATGGGATTCTTGCCCCACAATAGTAGATATGATAATCAACTGAATTGAATTCACCAATTCCTGTCCATTTTAGTTCACTGACACCCAAAATGTCAATATTTATTCTTATCATCTCCTGTTTGATGACATTCAGCATCCCAAGGTTCATAGATCTTACATTCCAGGTTCCTATGCAGTATTTTTCTTTGCAGCTTCGGACTTTTCTTTCACTTCCAGGCGTGTCCGCAGCTGAGCGTCCTTTTGGCTTTGGCCCAACCACTTCATTAGCTCTGGAGCTACTTGTCCTTGTCCTCTGCTCTTCCTCAGTAGCATGTTGGACACCTTCCTACCTGAGGAATAAGATACAGTAATGCAAGAAAAAAAGAGGCCAAAAAGTTATTTCTTTTTAACAATAAGGCATTGGTTAATCTGAGGAATTTACCTGCCTTGAGGCACCAGAATCAGAGAACTTTACAGGAATATGGGCACATCATTTGGGACTGTGTTTGAAATGCCTTGGTTTCTGAGTATAGAATATATTTCTACTGAGGTCGGCTCATACACTCAGGTAAAGAAATCGCATCGCGGATCTAAGAGATGCAAACTAACGTGTAACTCTCCACTCCACCCCGGAACAGAGGACGGGATACGGTTCTTCCAAACCAGTGTGAACATGACAGAAAGTAGAAGAGTCATCAGCCTCCGCGTGCGCTGCTCTTCCTCAGAGATGAAAAGGAGAGCGAGATGAAAAGGAGAGATCTTAACCCCATCGGCTCCCATGGGTGAGTGTTGGGGAGGTAAGAAAAGAGGGAGGAGCCCCGCCCCGTATCTCTGGGATCCAAAGACTGACCGCCCCCCTGCCGCCGCCGCCGCCGCCGCCCCTGCTCTGGTAGCAGCCGGTTCAGCCCCATGAGCCGGGTAGAGAGGCAAACGTCGGAAGAGAAAGAGGCGCAGAAAAGCGAGAGCTGGGCTGAGAAGGCGGATGAGAAAGCCAGAAATCTGACGAGAAAGCCGCCGCCGCAACAAGGAAACGGGCAGATCTACTACCAATCACCCAAAAGAGAGAAAACAAGCTGGGAATGAGAGAATATATTGGCCAAAAATGATCCAGGAAGCCCTGGAGAAACTAAACCCAAGCGAAGATCTAAGGAAGCCTTCCGAGAACAGGCGCTGCTGTCCGGAATAAAACGGTGACAGATGCGTGGGAGCGGAGCAAACAAGATCAAACCGATCTGTTTGTAACCTTCGCTGCTGTTTGGTTCTCCTCCTCCTTCGCTTCAGGGGAAACTTCGCAGAAGCAACGGTTGGAAAACGTAGGAGAGAATCAAAACCAAAGACGAGAGGTCCCACGCTGCCAGCATCTGTGGTTTGGAGCCCTTGAGCTGACTGCTACTGAGAAGTCCTGCATTTGAGAGAGATTTGCTTGATACCAGAACCAAAGAATGGTTAGCTGCTAGTACTCGCACCACAACTCGGTAGAAAGATCCCGTTTGGCCCTAAGAAGTCTGACGTTAGAACCCAAAGAACTCCTTCATTTCATCCTTCTAGAACCAACAGGAGGGAGATTCCGCTAGGCTGGAACAGAAGAGAGACTAGATCTGGCTATACTGTAATTTGAAACACACTTTGATTCCAAAGGCAGCAGCTCAGCATTTAAAGTAGTTACTAAGCAAATTTGGAATCAGGGATCCTAAACTAAGTTAACAAGCAGAGCCAGAGTGGAAGCATAGATTCTAGGAAATATTATTTGCAGCAACTTGCCCAAGACCACTTCCACAGAATACCAAGAAGTCTAATTGGACCAGCACATACACAGTGCATCCAAAGTTCTTCAGATTCTAGGAAAACCATCTACAGTGACTAACTCAGAGTCCCTCTGGGTTCAGCACCAATTACTCAGGGCAATCTGCTTGCCCAGAGGCAAATCTTGTTGAGAGGGAGACCACCATGGAGGATGGACCGCGTCGGCGAGGTGGCTCTGAGAAAGGTCCAGCTAGCACAGACAAATCAGAAGGAGGTGGTGTTGCACTCAAGAAGGAGATTGGGCTGATGAGTGCATGTGGCATTATTGTGGGTGAGTGGGGATTTCGGTGGGACTTATTCTGTTTGCTCTGAACTGGACAACGTTACTGTACTATCTCCCCTTACCAGTCAGGAAGGAGAAACCAGGCTTGACTCGGACCTTTTGTGCTCTTTTATATTGGTTTTCTCCTACTTTTTGGGAAAAGGATGGAAATGTTCCTAGTTATTTGATTTTAGCTTCCTTTCCCATTCTAGCCACTGTCCCTTCTTTCTACAATGTTTACCTTACTTTCCCTTCTTTCTATAAATATCTCAGAGCTCTCAGTTTGCATCCTCACTCTGATCAGAGCCATTCTTTTCCTCCCTAAAGCAGTTTCAGCACCACCAACTGAACACCCTATAAATCCATGTGTGTTTAGTTCTCTGTTGGAGGAAAAAACTCAGATTTTTGGCAAAGTCCCACCTACTCAATGGCAGATTCATGGGTTGTATCCTTGGGGTGCTGGAATAGCAGCAGTAGATGAGAGATGCTTGTATAGGCAATTGTCTTGGCTATGAAAGAGAAGGACCTCAGAAATACATACAAGTGCCAGCCTGTCCAGCTGCTTTGCCCCCAGACAGGGTAACAAATCCTTGGCAGACAAGATTTCCTATATATGGCTGCCTGATTTCAGAAGCATCTGGGTTCCAAGTTAGACAAGCAGTGATGTTTTTCCAGTTGCTTGCTGCCCCATAAGGAGATGCATCCTAGTGTAAGGGAAGAATTCTCCTTTGAAGCCTAGGACTTCATGGTTCAGTGGACATTGGCTTAAAACCTGCCAACAGAGCCATGTGGGAGCAAAGCATGGTCCTGCCCCTGCAGTTCCCTAACCTGTCAGTCACAGGAGTTTGTTTTCCACTTCACGGCAGCTGGAGCGCCAACTTTTGCAGCATGTTTATTTCAACTCTGTCAGTCCCACTCCAGATGGCCTTGTTTCAACAGCTGTCAGGAGACCACTGAAACAAACAGAAGAGGAAGTAGTTAGGGACTGAGAGCAGTGAAAGATTGGAGAAATCCCACTAATGCTCTATGTATGCCCAGTTCCTGAGCTTTTCTCTCATTTTCCACGGGCCTCATATTACAGTGTAATGGAAAGTTTATTTTCTCATCACTGCAAAACAAGATGACAAATAGCTCTACCTACAGTATTCTCTTTTTCCTGTGTGTTTTCACACACTCAGGAGAAAGAGAATACTGTACTGTGTGTTTTCCTGTGTGTTTTCACTGCTTTCACGCAGTGGGGGCAGGATGTTTAAGGCCTCAGTTAGACTGAGCTTTAACTTCTCCAAAGAGCCAGTCCAGTTTTTTCTTAACATTTCTTCCCATATGTTCAACTTTCCTAAGCCCTTTCCAAGCTGTCTTTTTTTTAACACCCCCACAATCTCCAGTTTCCCTAACTCTTGCATGCAATCCCCCAAGCCATCCTACTTCTACTAGACTGTTGCAATGCAAACCAACATTGCCCTGTGGCAGGTACTTTAGTCACACCTCTGCCCAGCCCTTTGGCTCCAATTCATAGCTGCAGAATATTAACTTCCTTAATGAAATGGTAGGAATATTCTGTGCCAAAGAGAAGAAATACAGAATGCATCCAGAAGGATGGAAACGTGGACAGCATGTGCTATGGGGATTTGAGTCAACATCGCAATGACAGGGAAGAATAATAAACAATATGGCAGGAAAGAACTGATTTGCTTCTACAAATATGTCTAGCCTATAAATAAGCAAATATGACTTTATTGTTTTGAAATTCTTGTGCTATCCTGGGATCTTTGCTGTGATGTGTAGCATCTCGCTTATGCATACAGTTCTCTGTGTGCATTGAAAAGTAGCTGCAAATTACAAATGTAAAACATTTGTCTTTAAAAGTGATAGCTACCTACTTTGAAGGCCTGCTGAGATGAGGCTCTGTTTTAATTGGGTCTGGAAAATCACAGGCCAAAATTCTGCTGCTTAGTGCAGTAAATCACACTAGAGTAGGCCCATTGAATCAATGGGATTTGGTAAGTGAATTCTTCCATAGGTTCCACTGATTCAAACCAGTCTACTCTGTGACTTACTATGCTAAGGGTGTGATTTACTGAAATGCAGCTTTGCTGTGATTTGATTCATAGTCTGCATTACATTTGAAGTCACAGTCCTTGTACACACAGTGGCTGCGGATTGATTTGGGAGTTCCCCATTCATGTTGAATGTGATGCAATTCACATTCCAGTCCATAGTCCATCTTCTTTTCTTCCTTCCTCTGGTCCTGCCTCTACAGATAATTCTTTCCTTCTCTGGTCCCACCTCTGTCGATCCTTTTATGGGTCATAAATGCAGAGAATAATAATAATAAGGACCCAACAATAAAGTGATAGGATGATCTAGCAGTAATCTCATACATGTAAGCATTTTTTTAAAAATTAGAGGGTGATTGGGGGAGAGCAAAGAATGCAGGGACATGTTTCCCTAGTCCTGAAATACTGCCTATGTCACTAAAACACCACCTATAAACATGCCCCAGGTTGTAGAACATATCATGAATACCTATATGGGGGAAAAGCCCATTTAAATTCTCCAGCTTGAAAAAGTAGGAGCCCTCTAGCAGCAAAAAAGAAAGGCTGCTTTGGGAGCAGAAAGGTCTGGACAAATTCAAATTAGCATTTGCATCATGTGGTCAGTAAAAACAATACTTTAAATTCATCCATTTTACATGTGAGACAAATCCCACAGTATTTGACCATGTAGTCATGTCCTAATAAGTTGCAGTTGCAGCAAGCCCATTTGAATCAATAGAGGAGTTGACTGACGAAATCCTCATTGAATCAATAGGCCTACTCTAGTGCAACAGGATTTTGGCCATTGAATCATAGACTTGCAGATCCTGAAGTTATCTCAGTCTATTTCCTGTCAAGCAGGAAGAGGTATGTTAGAGATCTCCTGACAGCTTAGACAAGCAGCTTCAGCAACCCTAGACATGATGTTTATGAACTGCCTGGTGTTTGGTATGTTTGATTTCCAAGCAGAGCTCTTGCAGGCTAGAAAGCAAACTATTAACCCCTAGCCCTATTTGCTTAGAATCACTTGCTTCCTTTTCTTGTTGTTGATAACAATGAAGTCTACATATTTGACTTGAAATGGGATGGAGGCTTGTGAGCTCTGCCAGCCCATTTCTGCTTCCTCGGGATGTCCCTCTTCCATCCTTTGGTTCGTTAAAGCATCACATGAATGATCAAGACTCTGTGGGATTTACTGTAACTTGGATGAGGGAATAATCCAATGGATGAACAATTTGGTCAGAGTCCTTGGTCCTAGTTACAGCCACTCGTCCATAGTCTGTATTCTTTGTATCTTGCCCTCCCCCTCCACACACCAGTTCCCTTCACTGTGAGGGGCTTCAGTCTGTCCTTCAGCCCAGTTCCTGTAGCCCCAGAGATGGAGCTCCCCCATGATTGAGCTCCTCCCACAAGAGAGGGCTGAAATGCCATCAGTAAGGGCAGGTATATGGGAATCCTTTCTCCAGAGATCTGTGCATGCCCTGGCTTTCCCATCTCCTCTCCTCCTCTTCCTGATGCTGATATTCGCGTGGCCACTCCCTCTACCAGCATTGGCTCTGGATTTGGGGACCTCATGTTTTCCCCCTCTCTCTTATGGACCCACAGCTGAACCAACCTCCCTCTGCAGGGTTCTTCCTTATAAATGTAGTTCCCTGCAGGTTCTGGCTCAACCCTCTGACCAGGCCACTCCTCCTGAGTGTTTCCCCAAGCTCCTTTGCCAAGTCTCGCTCTCCTTCCCCAGTGGGCTCCAGTTCCCTTTCCCCAGGTTCCTCCACTGTGCCCTTCACTACTTCCTCCAGGGAGCTCCGGTTGCTGCTCCCTTGTTTCCTCAGTTTGACTGCCTACCTCTCCTTTAGTCGGCATCTGCAGGGGCTCTGCCTTCGCTGGTGGCAATGTTGGCTTTTATAGCGGCCATCCACCAAGGCTAAACCAGTTCTCTCCCTTCCTCTAAGAGTCGTCCTTCAATCCCTAGTGCTGACCATATTGCATACTAATCCTTGGGCTCCTTTGTTTCCTCTCCAGGCAACATCATTGGATCAGGAATCTTTGTGTCACCGAAGGGTGTGCTGGAGAATGCAGGCTCAGTCGGGCTGGCACTCATAGTGTGGATTGTAACTGGTCTCATCACCGCGGTGGGAGCCCTATGCTATGCGGAACTCGGCGTCACCATCCCCAAATCTGGAGGCGACTATTCCTACGTTAAGGACATCTTTGGGGGATTGGCTGGGTAAGAATGGGGAGGATCGGGGAGGAATATCAGTGGGTAGGTTGGCCACTAATGGAGAATCGAAACGGGATGGATTCAGGACAGTGCGAGAGGATGACCTGAGAAAGGTAGGTTGGACACCACTGTTGCCCATTTCTCTCTCAAGGTTCCTACGGCTATGGATTGCTCTGCTGGTGATCTACCCTACCAATCAGGCTGTGATTGCCCTCACCTTCTCAAACTACATACTGCAACCGATCTTCCCTGCCTGCTTCCCCCCAGAAACTGGACTGCGACTGCTGGCTGGAGTCTGTCTTTGTAAGTACAGAAGCTGCCTTGCTAGCTCTGCCCCGAATTGGGCCCTGGAAACAGATGGTGACCTCTGGGTGTGTGTGTGGGGGGGACCTTTGCCACACGCCATGGTCAGCTTCATGGGGCCACCAGGAAGGTTTACGGGCCATGAGGCTGGTGTGATGTCATTGCTGCCCCTAGAAGGAGCCATGTGTGTGTGTGTGTACAAGGTCATGTGCAAGAGTTAACTACACCTTAACATTCTTGGTGTGTGTGTGTGTGTGTGTGTACAAGATCACGTGCAAGAGTTAACTACACCTTAAGATTCTTCCTTTCCGCTCCTCTTTGCACTAGGATCAAACAGGAGGGTAGATGTGTCTTCTTTTTTTTTCTTACAAGATGCTATGGGTTGTACTCCTGAGTATTGGCTCCAAACATCAAGGCCCCTTTTGGCTTTTTTTCGGCTTTACAGAGCTCAGTCTCACAGGTCTCCTGGCTGTGACTTGCTGCTGACTTTTTTTGGACTCAGGAAAGATTTTTGCCTTCAAGCCAGGCCTCGCACCACTCTTATGCAGTCCCCTACCTACGGTAGCGGTTACTTAACAATAGCTCCAAAAAAGTTCTCTCTTTTTTTAGTTAGTACCAAAACAACCGGTAGAACCTTGGGAGAAAAATAGTTATAAGATATTTGATTTCAAGTTCACAGCGGACAGTAGATTTTAAAAGTACAGCCATCAAGTCTCAACTTGCACTCGCCAAAGCTCGGCACCCTACGCCCATGGCTGGCATTGCCAACGCCAAAGCAACACACGCCCTCCATCTGATAACATTGAGTTGATTCAGACTGCCTTCAGCTTGGTAGGGCAGAACTAATCATCAGTAGGGCCTGGTAGTGTGGAGATGTGAGTGTCAAAACAGTCTCACAATGGTTGGTGTCGGGCTTATGCTTAGTAAGTGAACATTATGAATGACTTGTTCTCTGTGCGCTTATAGCCACCCTGCTGTGAAGTAGCCTCCATTTTTAAGATCATCCTCTGAAGCTAGCCAAAGATCCTGGGGTTGCGTTCCAACCCATCTAGCCAACATCAGGGTTATCCTTTAAATTGGAGGAACAATTTTTCCGCATGATATTTAAAACCGCATAAAGTCCTTCCTCCAGAACATAGGTATTTACGGCCATCTTGCTGTCTCTACGTACTAAGTCTATTGTTATGAATGACTGAATGGACCTTTGAGAACAATTGTGATGTGAATGAAGTATTTCATTTCGACATAGGAAATTACGTACCTCTGAATCCCTTCTTGGCCCTAGAACTTACTGCTTGATACTGTATCTTAGATAACCTATTTTACAGTGTTATTTGAAAATGAAACAAAGTGACCAACATCCATGTCTGTTACCCTGAGCTTCTTGTAGTTAATGGTGGGATATAGATATGTAGAATAATAATATGTGTTTAGTCTATACGCCAACGCCCAGATTTATTTGCTGTAATAGGAAAAACAAAGCAATTTACATGCAGCTCTTTGACCCGAATCAGTTACATGGTTCTAGTTATTGTGAGATGTCCTGTTCAAATAATGACAATAAATGTTCTTAAAATATGGTACATATATCCAAAACATACATCCAGTAGGCCTTGGAAACTCAGTGTGAATCTTGTTTCCCTCTTAATCTGAGAAGGTCAGGCTTTTTCCTGCGCCTATAAGTGAAACCAAATCAGAGGGCCCCTTAAGACCCCTCTTAAATCTGATTCACAATCTTTCCTTCAAGTCACAAGGAATGGCCGAAGGCCAAGAGATAGATCAATTTCTCAACGAGTTGAGACATCTACTCACTTACTTTTTTCCATCCACCCCTATACAGCCGCGCCCTCCCCCCAGCTTGATGGTTTCATAGTTGTGCCAACCAAAGGCAGTGGGGAGTGGGCAATGGTATATCCCTGATCTCAGGCAATATTTAGGAGAGGAATTCTGTTGCTGAGGTTACTTCAGAACATCAAATACTACGAAGATCAGGAACAAACTGGTTTTGTTCTTTTCTTTCCAGCTCCACAGCAGGGGGGAGGGGGGAAAGGAGGAAGGATGAGAGCAGAGGGTTTGGCTGAGGTGCTTATGCAAGCCAGCTGCTGCAGCTCAGCAAGAGTTTATTAATCAGGTCAAAGCCGGTTACCCAGGCCTGAGTCAGCAAAAAAGGGGGCGAGGGGGAGAGCAGAGTGCATGTGATGGAGTGGCAGCGAAGAACAGAAATCTACATACACAAAAGCACCGGGAATGAGGAACTACTGTATTGATGAGTCTTCTTCTGCCCAAATGCCAGAGACTATAGAGCAGAAAAATGAAACAGCAACCAGAGCGGGAGGGCCTGCATGAGAAATAATTTTTTTAAAATCCCTCCTGAACTATTAAAATTACACCGGAAGGATAGAAACAACAGACTGGGAAGTCAGAGCAGAAGGGGTGAGGGGAGCTTTAGAAGGGAAAAAAAACGGCACAGAAGAAGGTTACAGCTGACGGCTGGAGCCTAAAAGAGTATGAGCTATAAACTGAATTTGGGTAGTGTTTGCCAGAGCGCTCTGAAGCAAGTCTTAATCTGTCTTATCTGTGTGCCTGTAGTTTCTGCTTTGCAGCTGACGTAAGCAAGCGACCTAGAAGTGGGCAGAATGTTGTTTTCCCGTACCAGTCTCAACTGGGCAGCTCCTATGTTGAATGGCCTGGATAAATTTGTGGGAATGCCGTGGAGGTGGCATTACTGGTCACTGACCTCTCTGAACCAAGCACTGGGTCTATTTCGGGTCAGAAATAATGTGGCAGGGCGGCTGGTCTGGATCTGGCCCTGGGGGACAGTATGTGCTGAGAATTTAGCAGCAGCTCTGAACCGCACCGTCTCGCTCTAGTGTCATCTCTTAGATTTTTGTCTCTGAAACGATCTCAGGTAATTGGAAACTTGCTGGATCTTCTCCAGCCGGGCTGGGTACTAGAGGTTCCATAAAAACAAGGGAGCTTCCAGGAATCTAGTCTCTGGCCTGGAACAGAATGGAGCTGCATATACAGTATTCCTGCCCCACTGAGATGCCAATGCTACCTCTAGCCTCTTCTCTCTTCTTTTTGGTTTCAGGAGTTCGATCCTAGTCTTCTGCACATAGCACCCCAGACAAAGTTCCACAGCATACCCCGCTCAGATCCACCTATCCATCTTAGAGCTATTCTTGGCTCCTCCTCTGATCCCGTTCTGAAACTCTACCTAGTCCTAATCTATTCTTGGGATCTCACAACCAAATCTAGCTGTTGCCCTTAGTAGCAAGCATACTTTGTCAGGGATCTACAGAAATGGTTTCCAGTCCCCCAGTAGATCCTTATACTGTACCAGAAAAGAGATTGTACACAGTTTCACTCCTTACTCCTTGTTGTTCATCTTCTTACCACATGTCATTAAACCATAATCTAAATGCCTATGGAGCTCCATTTGGTCCTCAACTCTCTTGTGACCTATGGAATGGGTGAGAGCTAAATTAGGAGCAGCCCTACATGACAATAACTTTGTCTATATGATGAAGTTATTAACCTGACCTTAAAGTGTTCATATTAGTATCCAACCTATTTTTTGCAATGTGGCTTTTCCTACACAGAGACATTTTCTTTATTGGAAACATGTGCAATATGAACTGGTATAAAAACATATTTATTTATTAGACTTCTACACCACCCATCTGACTGCAAGGCCACTCTGGGTGGTTAACACAGCATAATAAAACAATAACACTTTTTTAAAAAATCAAACATAATGGTAATAGAAAAATCAAAATTACAGTACTGTATACAGTCACTAATAACCGAAAGAACATCAACAGAAATGTAGAGCCTTCCTCCCTTTCTCTCTGCCCACTCAACTGATTTTCTGTTAAGCTCCAAATTTCCTGTTTTGAGACCTTCTGAGGTGAACTTGATTGTGCAAAAGGGCTGCTGAGTGAGCCATTTCCATTTCCTCTTGTTCTGTTAAAATTTGGGGACCTCTTAGTTCTTGTCTCCTCCAAAAAGGAAGAAAGCACTATCAGATAGTTACTGGGGCACACTGATACACAGACACCTCCCAACCACCGATAGACACAGAGAGAGAGAGAGACATAAACAGCATAACATCTGTCTCCTCCCCACTTGCCTTGTGGATGTACATTTTTGTGTTAATGCCTACTGTGAAAGTCGGTCTGTCAAAGTCCTGGCAGCCTCATCCGCCTCTTTAAGGATTTCCAGTGTGGCCTGTGACTCCCTTAGCAAACTGTACCTAAGCTGCCGAGTCTTGTCCAGCTCTGTCATGTGTCTGGGGTGGGAGCTTATCTATTTTGATAGCTTAGAGCAAACACAGTAAGATCCTATCATTCTGAACACATCCCATCTTGTCTATCTTTGGAAGCTAAGCAAACTCAGGCCTGGTTTAGTAATGGGATGGGAGACCATCAGAGGATCCTTGGATTTTCAGATAGTGCTGCGAAGGAATCCTATCTGACCCCCTGGAAAGCCTCCGCCAGTAAGATGCATCTGTAAAAGTGGAGTGTAATCCACAAAAACTCACAATGAAATGAATGGAGGGGTGGGGGGGACAAGTATGCCATGTTTTGAAAGTTGCCCAGCACCCAAGGGGATACCTACACACACACCCAAGTCCATTTTTTAAGATTTGGCCACTAGAGGACAGAAAGATTTTCCCCCAGTAACCCATCCCTCCATTTTTAAAGGGGAAAAGTTGATGGTTCCTCCTCTCCCAGGAATAGACATGGGTCTCCAAAATCAGGGTGTTTAATCCTTATGGTTCTGGAGACTGCCCACCTCTGTCTTGTATTTACCAAATTGGGAGTCTGTCTCAAAAGCAGGCAACGCCTCAAAGGGGTTTACTTTTAAAACCTACAGCATAGAAGACTTAATGTTTTGGTGTAAAATCAAGGACAGCTAGCATTCTTTGGTCAAAAGAAGTCTATACCTTCCTTTCACACATTCCTGCTAGGCTGATTTTACATGTTCACAAAGGTTTTGCTTGTTTGTGTTCACCGAAGAGAAAATATGGGGGATACAGCTAAGCATGAGTGGCGTTGCTTTGATTTTTTGTTAGACACACTCGATAGTAAGAAATAACTGGTAAGAAATTATACACACGTTTATTTGTGCGCGTGTGTAGTTACAGAAGCGATTCTACAGTAGATAGATAGAGTGACAGACTCGGACTCTGGAGAACAGAGTTCAAATCGCTACTCAACCATGTAAACTCATGGGGTGGAACTGGTAAAATCACTCCTTAAATATCTCACTTATCTTGAAAGCCCTCTTAGAGTTGCTATAAATCAGTTCCAACTAGAAGGCACAGAAAACGCACCTAGCCAGAAAACGTTTATGAATACTGTAATTCTGTCTTGAAATGCAGATAGCCTACAAAAGCATTTACATGTGTGGGAGCTTATTATTCTGTATTTAGTCTTGGGAGACTCTCAGTGTTCTTCGCATAGATTGCTGTGGTGGCCGCATGGTTTTGTCTCCTTTGTTATCCTTATTTGCTGAGATTAGAGGGAGGAGGTTTGGAAAGACTAGCAATAGGCATTTCTGTCTGTCTCCCTGGAAAATCCTGTTTATGTGGGGCTGGGTTACCAGGGGCCAGCTCCTGTTTGTGCAGATGGGATGTTTTGATGCAGTCAGGCTGGGAGCCAAATTGGTCATAGTCTCCCCCCTCTGGTTGTTTTTCATTCCTCCAAACCTCCAGCTATTATTAATAAGCTTCAGGGTTTGTTTCTATATTGCAACACAGAAATTTAACTCCCATCAGACGCTTTCAAATATTAAGAGAACGCTGACGGTGGTAGGACTCTCTGTGGTCAGATAAGCCCTGAATTTTTTTTTCACTTTGAATAGCCTTGCCTTCAAGCAACTGAATGTTGAATATAATTGCGCCATTGTGTTATTGTGAAAGATAGTGACACAGTTGCTGATCGACAGATCCTAACCGTCTGGACCAGAAGCAAAGAAAGCAACGGCTGCCCTGAACCAGAAAGCAGTCCTTGCTTTTTTGCTGGAGGAGGTCCCGGCACAGCATCCGAATTGCTCCCGGCATTATCTCACTCAGAAGTTGTGTCCTGAAGGCATGAACCTGGCCTTGACCGAGAGACTTGGACTGGAAGAAAAAAGAAAGGGAATACAGTACTGACAGCCCTTTTCCCTCTCTTGTTGATTCCTCCTGCTTCTCTACAGTACTGCTGACTTGGGTGAACTGTGCCAGCGTGCGCTGGGCCACGCGCGTCCAGGATGTCTTCACGGCAGGGAAACTGCTGGCGCTGGGACTTATCATTGTCATGGGAATCGTTCAGATCTGCAAAGGTGAGGCCCACTCCGGTCAGGCAAATAAAAAGGCAAGAGGCTCCTTAGTGTGCTGTGTTTGCCCTGTCGAGGGGAATCAGCTTCAGGATTTTAAAACCTTGCATTCTTTAGTAAGCTGATTTAAAGAGTGGATTGGTTGCCATAGTTTCCTGCTGAAGCCTGCATTGCTGAGTGGGAGAAAGAGGGGATTGTGAACAGATCAGCCCTGCCATTCTAATGAACCCCCTTTTCCTCTGAATAGGTGAATATTTTTGGCTGGAGCCAAAACATGCCTTTGAATTCTTCCAGACCCCGGATGTGGGACTCGTGGCGCTGGCCTTCTTGCAGGGCTCTTTTGCCTATGGGGGCTGGAATTTCCTCAACTATGTCACAGAAGAGCTGGTTGACCCTTACAAGTGAGTCAGGAATCCCCCCAATGGTGATAAGGGGAAACAACCCACCTTCATTCTTACTGCCCTTTTGCATCTCAACTCTTTCTCCTCACAGGAACCTGCCTCGAGCCATCTTCATCTCCATTCCCCTGGTCACCTTTGTCTACGTCTTCGCCAATGTGGCCTATGTCACTGCCATGTCACCCCAGGAGTTGCTGGCCTCCAATGCTGTTGCAGTGGTGAGGCCCCATCTCCCTACCGTGCAATTTCTCTCCCCTCCTGGGGCTCAGAAGGGAATTGCAGCTACATGCTCTCTCCTGCTTCTTTCCCCCCACAGACATTTGGGGAGAAGCTGCTAGGAGTCATGGCTTGGATCATGCCCATCTCTGTTGCCCTTTCCACTTTTGGAGGAGTCAACGGGTCACTTTTCACTTCCTCTAGGTGAGTAAACATGGCTTCTAGCAGAAATTCAGGCATGCCATCTGTAGTGGCCTTTTTTTCACCCTTTCCTGAGTGCATCCATCCATCCATCCATCTACCCATCCCCCCCCCCTCTCTCTCTATCTATCTATCCTGCCTTTCTCCTTGAAAAGGAGATGGATGCAGGTAAATGGGCTGAGGCTGAATCTGGACAAGACAGAGCTGTTCCCCGTGGTTGGTGGCTTGGGTGACTCTCTCACGTTTGGGGGGGGTGACCCTGGCTGTGAAGAGTGGGGTCCGCAGCCTGGGCTTACATCTGGACCTGACACTAACCATGGAAATGCAGGTGTCATCGGTAGTCCGCACCGCCTTTTTCCACCTCTGGCGGTTGCCTGGCTGCGGCCCTATCTCGACACGGGGGCACTCACTACCTTGGTGCATGCGCTCGTAATCTCGTAACGTGCTTTACGTGGGGCTGCCTTTGAGGCTGATGCGGAAACTTCAGGGGGTGCAGGGAATGTTAAGGCAAAGATCAAGAAGTATATATATATTTTTAAAGTCACTCTGAAAAATGGAAAACACAACAATGGAAAACAGAAGCAGTACTGAAAATCCAGTCAAAGCAATGTTGCAGAGCAATCTAGAAATCCCACACAGGTAGCTAGTTGGTTACTGAGGGAGGCCTTGCCTGAAGAGAAAGGAATTGGCTTGCTAACAGTGAAAGGATAGCAAAGACGGGGCCAGTCTGGTCTCTGGTGAGAGGGGGTTCAAGAGTCTGGGAGCAGCCACAGAGCAGGCCCTCTCCTGTCTTCCCATCAGGCTGATCTGTGAAGGTGGCAGGAACGAGAGAAAAGCCTCTCCAGATGATCTTAACACCAGAGCTGGCTCTTAATGGGAGACACAGTCTTTGAGACAGCTTGGACCCAGGCCATTTAGGGGTTTATAGGTTCAAACCAGCACTTTACATTGTGCCCGGTAACGGATTGGCAGCCAGTGGAGCTGCTATCACAGGGGGAGTTATATGATCTCTGTAACCAGCCCCAGTCAGCAGTCTAGCTACTGCATTTCAGACCCATTAAAATTTCCTGACATGCTGAGCCACTGCCAACACCTTCCTCTGAGTCAATTAAAATGGCTCAACCATCTTGAACACACCCCTCGGCTTGTATTCCAGATAATATCTCTTTTACCCTTTCTAGACTCTTTTTTGCTGGAGCGCGGGAGGGCCATCTCCCCAGCGTCTTGGCGATGATTCACGTGCGACGCTGCACTCCCATACCTGCCTTACTTTTCACTGTGAGTCACTGGAGGGGAGGAAGGAGGCGGGACACGTGTGGGATAAGGGGGGTGGGTGAGATCATCTGGGAAACAGCTGCAACTGAGATCTTTGCAGTTGATTGTTGGGATCTCGTGGCAGATAACGCTCCTTTGCCAAACTGCGCTGCCTGGGGTTAACATACTTGCTAATTTCCTATCTTTGCCTGTCTCAACCCCGGCAGTGCATTTCAACATTGCTTATGCTGGTCACAAGTGATATCTATACCCTGATCAATTATGTGGGTTTCATCAACTACCTCTTCTATGGAGTGACTGTGGCTGGGCAAGTGGTACTACGCTGGCAGGAGCCTGACCTACCCCGACCTATAAAGGTAAGAGGCTCCTCATCCCATAGCCAGTGGGCCCCTGAGTTTTGATCCATCCTCATCGTACGCCAATGTCGTTCTTCCTTGGGACCTTGCATGCTGGATGGCGTTTGGTCACAAACTTTCCACCAGTGATTTAAATCACATTTCCAACATCTCACACATGTATTTTCTGAACAAGCATCCATGCCAATTGCTTATTAAAATAAGCAAATCAAAACCTTTCCAACTAAAAATAGCTTTCTACGGACCAGGAACGTAATCTTAAAACCATGGGTTATGTAACCTGGAGGCCTTCTGCAGCAATATGGAAATTACATTTGCTCCAAACCAAAATACTAAATAGTGCTTCGCATGGAAAATTAACATCCATTCTATTTTGGGTGACAGAGTCTAACTATAGTAAAGTGCTTTCATAAAACAGTCCAGGCACTTATTTTTGGCCATATGAAAAGCAGACTCTAATACACATGAGAGGACACTTTGAATAAGTTTTATAAAATTCAGAATTTTAATTGCTAAAATTTTAATTTTAGCAATGTGCTTGAGCTCCTTGTTTGACAAACTCAAACACCAAGAGAAAAGGCATATTAGAAATGTAGCTCTTCTAGCAATCTCTACCTGCTAACCCAGTCTTTAGCTGACTTCTGGCTAAGCAAGAAAACCTTCCTCCCTGCAAGCCATTTCCTGCTTCCTCCTTCCCAGTGTTCCTCCTTAGACCCAAGCCATCTCTTTCCTCCCCAGGTGAATCTGTTCTTCCCCATCATTTACCTGCTGTTTTGGGCCTTCCTGTTGGTATTCAGCTTGTGGTCAGAACCTTTGGTTTGTGGCATTGGTCTGGCCATCATGCTGACCGGAGTCCCCGTCTACTTCCTGGGGGTACACTGGGAGCCCAAGCCACCTGCCATCAACATGTTTGTCGGTGAGTCATGGGTGGGTGGACGGGGAGGGCGGGCGAGGGACAGCTGAGTAAACGCCTCATTCACGCTGAGGCTGTGTGTACGTTCTTTTATTTTCCCGTTCACGCTTACTCCTGGATCCCCATTTTGTTACAGATGCGATCACTCGGGCAGGACAAAAGCTTTGTGTCGTTGTTTATCCTGATATGGCTGCGGGAGAAACTGATGGTGGCCTCAGCAAGGAGACCAAAGAGCAGCTGGAGCCAATGTGTGGACCTGAAGACCTCAAAAACCTCCCCAAATAAGCTGTTCCGCTGCCTGGCAGGGCAGAAAGAGCTGCCAAGTATGGACTGCACAGTAGTACCTCCTTCGCTGGGTGTGGAATGAATGGGAGCCTCCTGCACCCTTTAATGTTTCCTCCCTGCTGCCTACAGCACCACATTGTGGGACTGGTCTGCCTGGGAATGCCCTGCTCTCTCTATTTCCTATGGCAATGTCTTGCTGAGTCCAGAGGACCAATGCTCACCATTCCCTACTTGCAGTTCCCCCCTCTACAGAAGCTGGAAAAAAAACACGGAGCTCTCCTCTGAGTAAAACAGGAAAAAAAAACACAACACAACCACGTTCCTCTGGCCACCCGCTGACACAATCCTTGCTGGAAGGGGCTCCCATGTCGTTGCCTTATATTGCTGGGAATATTTCCATTGGGTTTGAGCCTCATCAGGGGAAAGTATATCTTCTCCCTTGGTTTTGTGTCTTTGTATTTTTCACGTTTTTCTCTTTTTCTCTTTTTTGGTGTAATAAATTAAACCCAGTTGCCACCCCTGGTGCTCTAAATGTTGCAGTACAAGGGCTTGAAGACAGCCTGTGTGGTGGACAGAGTGGATGCTCAGGAGACTTGACTTCAAATCCCAGCTGGGAAGGTCAATGGTAAAACCACTCCTTCAATATCTCACATGGCTTGAAAACCCTTTAAAGGTCACCGTAAAACAATGGTAAAACCACTCCTTCAATATCTCCCATACAGTAGCTTGAAAACCCTTTAGGTCACCGTAAGTCAGATGTGACTTCACAGCTCATAAGAAAAACAGAACTCGAGACATCATTCAGGGCACACACCTTTCTGCCTTGCTGACCATAATTTTTCCAGTTATCTGGCAAAGATTATTTAATCTTGGATTAACTAAATACCTAGCACTTGAGGGGAGGTTATTTTACTTTGAAAGAAGGCGCCAATCTCTGCTCCATGCAGTTAACAAAATGCAGTAACTGCATTCCTAGCACATGTCAAGAAAGAGCAAGAAGGGTGCACAATATTTTCTTTCAGTTAGACTTGCTGGCACAAACCTACAGCAAGATTGGGGAATGTGTCCCTCTAGATGTTATTAAGTATTTGTTCCCATTAGCCATAAGTCTCTAGGCAATGGTGAGGTTTGATGGGAAAGTACTCCAGCCACACCTGGAGAGCCATCCCAGGTAACAGATCAGATGAGAGATCCACCTTCTTGTTTCATACACTGGCCATATATCTCCAGCAAGTCTACAAGTCCATATCCCTCCTCTAGTAACTGGTATTCAGGGTCACCTACTATTGCCTTGGAGTTAGTTCTACCTTATTTCTATCTACTTTCTCTGTACATTGGATATAACTTCCTAAAACTCTTTCCCATCCTTCCAGGTCCCCCCCCACACACACACACAAATAAAAATCTCCATATTATCCACTCCCTTGTGATAGGGATGGTGTTCTACCATCACAAGTCCTTTTCTAGTTCTACAATAGATTTTTTGAGGTGGGGAACTAAAACAGTCTACAATATTTCAAATGCCATCACATTGCAGATTGATATAAAGCCATACGGTACTGGTCACCTTAATTTTTAAATAATCTCTTGCAGTGAGTTTACCCTTTTTCACTGCTGTTGCATAACTTCATACATATAATATTTGTTCACATG